CACACAAAATGTGAGTAAATAACTCCTGCCCACCTGCACGCTTAGGTGCCCTCTTCACTCCAGAGCACCCCAGGGTCACCAGGGCTGGTAACGACGCCACTTCGGTGTTTCGGATGGCGAGGAGAGCCCCAGTCTCCACCACATCGTGGGAGGCAGGTCCACACCTACACCAGCAACAGTCTGGTTTTGCCAGGGAGGTTACCACCGCTGCAAAAGGGACTGCTCATGCCTGTTTGGCCACTGCTGCCATTTACCCAATGCTGGCATGGAGCCCAACCGGAGCACCATTTGTGATCTACCTAAGCTTGCTAAAAACTGTAAAAAAGTCAAAAAAAACAATCTAAATTTGATAGTTTATTTTGTTTTATTGAGCTGCACCCTTCCACAAGTTGCTTTAACAATCACCAAAGCCAGTGTAAGCAAGAGCAGACTGTGCAGCTGGGAGACGGGTGGGCTGTACCCAGAGACATCCCAGTTACCTCCCAGCTCCCTGCCTTCTCCTGGGCTGCGCAGTCCCACCGCCTTGGGCGTTCCTTGCACCCTGGAACTGCTTTAATCCACTAACCAGCAGCAAGCTGTTCAGCTCTCCCTCTCTCCCCCGAAGTTATTTTTCTGCTGCTCCCCGAAGTTATTTTTCTGCTGCTCCTGTGAAATGGCCCAACACCAAAATAGTGTAAGGTAAAGCCGCAGCAATTGGGAACGGGAAGGGGAAAGCAGCAACTCCCCCTTCTTGCTTTCAGCTTTTGCCAGCTGCAGCTTATCTATTCATTGCTCTTGCTCAAGAAAATAAGTTCCACAGAAAAGGCTTTACTGCAGAGGGCTTGCCCTATGTTAAGCAAAGCAGGGGCACAAAGTTCATGGAGTTCATGGCAAAGCACACGACACAAACATAAAAACGGATGTGCTGGGTGACACCACGGGTCCTGCCCCAATACCCTGTCTCCCAATACACAGTCAGTAAGCAGAGAGCTAGAGAAAAGCAAGAACAGGATGGGATGAGCACATCTGCATTTCTCCCAAGCACCTTTGTGGCCTTCAACACTTTCACTGGTAGGGATTTCCTTAGTCTGGCGTGATCTGTCCACTAAGTAGTTCCCAGAAGATCTTCTCCAGGAGTTTCGCAGGCTTCTCACCCCTGCCTGAAGAACCGCTTCCCCCTGCCAGGGTTTGAATCTGGTTCCCGCAAAGTTTAGTTGACCTTCCCTTGCTCTTACACCGGTAGATGAAATAGCCAAACCCTCTTTAAGCCACTCGTGATTTCACAGACCTCGGTCACATCCCTCTTCAACCACCCCTTTCCCAGTCATTTGTCACGTGGAAGCCATGTGACAATGACTCGTGCTGTGTTTCTCCACACTTCTTCCAGCTGCTCTATATTCTTCCCGAGATGAAAGGAAGGGGAGATGAAACAGTATTTAACACATGGACAAACCATGGATTTAGACATGGCATAATAATGCTCTGTATCTTATTCTTTACTCTTTTCATAGCATTTCATAAGATTTGATATGCTTTCTTTGATCACTACTAAGCACAGAGCTGATCGTTTGATGGAACTACTGTTGGTCTCAAGATCCCACCCTGAGCAGTGACAGTCAACCTGGAATCCATCACTTTGTACAAGAAGTTCAGATGGTTTCCTGCTTCCAAAGCAAATCATCCCACCTTTATCTACACCAAATGCAGATATCACACACTCTGCACTATCCTCTTAAGCAGTATCAGGGACCTAGAAAACACGTCACAAATTGAGTTAAAATCTGCAAGTTACGTGGATCACTGAAAGTGAGACAGCAATAACAAGAAATCCTGTATTTGGGACAAAAAGTTGCAGGAGCACTCGATTGCAGAGAGTTGAGCAGAACAGAGCAGTCCTACAAATAGACTACACACGTAACAAGGAGTTCCTTCGGGCTTTGATCTTTTAGCTATTTGAAACCACACAAAAGTTGAATGAAAAAGGTACAAGCTCCCAAAGGAGTCAGATTCCCCACTTCTCCGTGGCAAGCTTCTAAAGTTCCCTTTTTATGACCACCTTCACCAAAATAAATAAATCACTTCTAACTTCAAAAAAAAAAAAAGTAAACCGAGGCATTTCCACTCGATTCCTTTCATGTCTTTCCACCGCCTCGTCTAGAGTCACATGCTCAGTCCTGACCTTTCCAGATTCTCCTCTCTGCCACGCCACACTTATTCAGACTATCAAATTCATTTAGTGAAACCATCCTATCCTTTCACACTTGACTCTTTTCACAGGCAAGCAGTTCATTTTCATGCAGACCCACTTTTAACTTCAAAAGGTTGCTTTGTATCTCAGCTTCTGATGTCCCTTGTTTAAAACACTTTCAAATAAGGATCTGAAAAGCACTGTAGCTGGGAACTCTTGCCTCTTCGTCCCTCCTCGAAAAAGAAATAAATAAATAAAAATCCACTATTAAACAAAGGGAGAGGCCACGCATCCACCCAGGATTTCTGTAGCTTGTTAGCAGCTCTGATGGCTCGCCGGTGCAGAGCCAAGGTCACGGCCAGCGCTCGTCAAACTGAGCCTCCACAGCTGCTGGGCTGGTCTCCTGAGTTACCTTCACAGTGACACTTGCCTCTGCCTTAAACCTCCTCTGAAGTCATTCGTTGCCACTTACCCACACTGCAGCGTGGTTATAGCAAGGCAACCCTTCTGAGAAGGTCTCGCAGCAGCGGTGGGACAACCCGATGAACACCCAACAGCGACAGCACAACTGATACCGAACCATGAACTCTTTGGTCCATAAAAAGCACTTTTTACCTATTCACAGATGCTTTAGTGACCACGCAAAAATGACAAGACTGTATGCAAACTCATAAAGCAATTAGGTGAAAAGATACAGCAGCAAGCCTCTCAAACTTACACCTTTTAAACACAACTAGAAACTACGTCTGTGTCACAGCAAACTACCATAAAAACTAATGCAGTGGTTCTGTTAATCAAAACATTTTTCACTTTGAGGCCACAGATGCAGGAGAATACTTGTTCACAGCTCATTTCAGAATCAAAGTTTCAGAACCATTTTCGATTTAAAATATTTATAACTCAGTAATTTCAGGTGAGAGAAGCATACTGAGAAGAGCAGAACATTACACTAAATTTCTCATTAATTTTCCTGTGAAACCTTTGAGTCTCCAAAACCTGACTTTTAAGTTAATTATGCACAATTTGGACACTCCAAAGTCAGGAATTCAGGGCTCAATCCTGTCTGGTCACTCACAAAACCTGTATGATAAAAACACATTATAATCATGCTCTTTTCTTGCCAGAATAGACAAAAAAGGTACTATCAGCATTTTTAAAACCACATTTGAATCCCAAGAGAGAGGGTTTTTTTGTACTAGCTCTTTCTCCCGTAAAACTTACTAGCCATGTTTCTACTAGAACAGCTTCAGCAATGCATCCAGAAATGCTCTAAGTTAGAATCACAGCAGCTATTTCATCCTTATTTTTTTCAGATTTCGGCAAAGGTAGGAATTTTACCTAGTTGTAATACAGAGAGTTACCACAGATCTTCAGAAAAGGGGCAACACGGAGAGCTTTAGCATAAACAGCTGTTCCCCTTCCCTCAAATCTATATGGAAATACAACAATTGAAAGCATTGCAGGTTTTACATAAATTTTACTTTCTTACAGTAGACACCACATCAAAACCACAGCAGTTAAAAAGTCAAACAATTTTCCAGCTGGCTGCAACACCCATTGAAAAGCCGGTTCAAGATAAAACCACATCTTTTGTATTAAAATACCGGTCAAGCTGCTGACAAGGAGACAAATGAGTTTTTAAACCATTAGTGTACACTCGCATAAAATTAAAAACGATTCTATAGAAAGAAATTTGGATAACCGTGATATGCCTCTTCCAGCGCAATACTTCATTTTGGTTTTCTGAGAAGTTATTAAAATTGGACCATCTCAGCTTGCTGGAGTTTCATTTATTCATTATTGCAATGTACAGTTAATGCAGGAGATTAGATTCGGTTTTGACAAGTCTTTTACACTTCTCAGGGCAGCGCTGCTATTTCTGCTTAGGTTAACTTTATCTACCAGCTAACCTTTACGGTATTGACAACGGCAATTAACAGTTTTCTCCCTTGCCTCCCATCTCCCTCCCGCTGCAGGTGATGCTGTTGGAGCAACACGCATCCCCAGATACTCCCGGGAGCCTGCTTCACCGACCCCCCCAAGAAGCACCAGCCGTGTCTCCCCCAGCCCATCTCCCTTTCCAGACCACACAAAGATTGGCAAAAGCAGCAAAATAGAGTAAACTGCAAACGGAGGCGGCCATCACCTAATGAAACACGACTTAACGGAACTGCTGACTGTCCAAATATTTAACTGCTCTCGAATGCTGCGGGTCAGGTGGGTTAATCAAATAAACTCGCATATCCGGAGGGATTGCCCATTATTTGTGTTTTCTTTAAGTCCTTACCTGACTTTAGGCTCTGAAAAACTACCGAGTTCTGAACATTATTTGCATAGAAAAAAAAAAAAACAACAAAGCAGACATCACAGTTCTCCATCATGAGCTGAAAACATGGGAGAGTTCTTCCAAAAGAAATATTTTTGCTGAATAACATGACAACTCTCTTCAGCACACAAAAGGCAGCACGCGCTGATGGGAATTGACAACACCTACACCAGGTACCTGGAAATATAACCCATGTCACAGCACATAACCACGCTCTAAGTGGGAACCTAACACACACTGCCTCTCTCAGACTTAACCATTAAAAATTACCAGAGCTAGAAAACACCCATACAGATGGGAAAAGTAGATGCAAAGTGTTTTCAATGTACAACAATGGAAATGAATATAAATCTAGGATTAAAATATAGCTTAGTTTCACCGATTTCTAATAGCATTTGTCTCCATTCAACAAGAATTTATGCACCATTTCAACCTGATAAGAATTTAATTCTAGGTAATAAAGCTTTACAAATTGAATTCAAAGGAAAAAAAAAAAAAAAAACCTACCAGCATTTCCCAATTATTTCCAGAGCTCCACAACTACAGATTTCAACTGAAGGAACAGGGAAAGCTGCCACTACAAAAGCAGAGCTGACATACGACCCCTGGATACAGTGGCACCAGCAGACAGCTATAACAAAAATCAATATTAATTCCGCACACTTCTGTTTTGAAAATAAAGCAATGAAATTCCCTCATGCTCACCTGCCAAAGGGACACAACTCAGACCAACTTCATCAGAGAGGATTTTTAAAGTCTTTCTAGAGGCATGTAATGGATTCCAAGACTGAACGTGCACTGAATGTTCAGTGAACCAAATAATTTTTAATAGATTCCTCAGGGGAGTTTATTTTATATTTTTAAATCACTCTGAGACCTTGGAATGACAACCTGATTCAGAGGAAAAGAAAGGCTAGTGTTCATGGGGTGGGGTATTGTGTTTCTTCCAGCATTTTCTGAAAGAGGAACAGTCGTGTCCACTATAATTTCTCACGTCTTCATTTCTACAAACCTCAGACTTCTAAAATCACTTTTGAAAACACACGTTGAGCAATATTAAAGTTCATCCTTGCAGACATACTACATCAGCAATTACAGAAAGTTGATCTCACAAAAATTTAGGAGTAATTAAAAGCCGGACCGAGGCAGCTCAACTCCTTCAGCTGCGGGTGCAGAAGGGTAGGCACAGGCAGCGTTAACAAAACGTTAACAAAACCGTCAGGCCCGGATTCAAAAACTCAAAGTAGCATAAATTAGATCAGTTTGTAGATTTCAGATTAGCCTCCCTCTCCCCCACCAAACCGATGCCCACCTGACAACAAGGCCCCTAGGAGGTGACAGCAGATTCGGCACGAGGAGCAACCGTCCCTTCGAAGAGGAAATTTTTCCAGCTGTACGATTAAGCACGCAGGAAAACAAGACGAGGAGCCTCCAGCGCTGCCGTCGTTAGCATGATTTCAGCAGGATTAGGCAGAGCACGATGGAGGAAAAGCCTCAGACAATGAGTCCTTTCATACATCAGAAACAAAACCTACCATTAATCACACCAGCGATTCAGTTTCTTCCACTAATTCCTAATCAGACATCAACAAATAAAGCGAAACACTTATTCTTGTTTTAATTCTATGAAACAAACACAAGTGAATGGAAGCGCTCAGCCTGCACTGCAAAAATGCTGTCGCCCCTCCGCCTCCTGAAGAACGGGGAGCTGCGAGATGCACGAAGGGTTGGGAAAGGAGCTCTTCCATTAAGCCCGTCCACGGAGTAGTCCGGAGCAGAAGATTTAGAGGAGCGCTGCATTAACGAGCGAGAGAAACTTCAAAGCCAAGAGACGAACTCAGTCGAAACCCTCCTCCGTACAAAAGAGACCTTGAACCACAGTCATTAGAAAAAACATCTGGTGCGCCGCTTTGATTTTCAACATTAGTCATTGGACAGAAACAAAACATTTTTATTTTTTTTTCCTCCCCAAAGCAGCAAATAATTGCAAATCCACTTCTACATATAACCTATCATTTATCACCTCATCAGTGACTGCTTGAGTCTGATGGAATTAAACACTCAAGTCAGGCAGTTTTTGTTAAAAGCAATAATTACATTGTTACTAGAATATACAATTAGGTAATAAAAAACAAAAACAAATCTGCCTAGCAATATTTTTTATGCACTCTCACAGAAATATTACCAGACTGGAAACAGGCAACGTTATAATAATAAAACAAAAATCCACTTCCACCGAAGTATAGCTACTTCTAATTTAAAACTTCACCCACAGGCAAAAATACATAAATGATTAGCATTATAGTGTTTATTTTAATTACACTGTGCAACAAGAATCCAAGAGGCTGTTAACTCACTTCAGATACGAGGAAAGCCAGTATCTGAGAGCTCATCCTCCATTTATAACCTACACAGTTGCGTCAGCCTATCACCTGAAACCAGAACATCTGCATTTCTCATAATATTCAAAAGCAACTTACAATGGAGGTATCAGCTCAAAGAAAACAAAAAGAAAAAAGAAAATCAGAAGGTCAGGAGATCCCTCACCTGCTCCTTCTAGACAATGTTTAAGAGCATCAAAAATCAACTCGTCTTCAAAGCACAACTCTTCAAAGTTTAATAATGAAAAAAAAATACGTCTCTTTAATTCAAACTTACATTTACAAACGCTTTCCAGCAACATAACTGCTGTGCAATGTATTCTTTAACACCGTGTAATTCATGGTGCCTGCCCTGAACACCTAATGATCTAAGCAAACAAAATACAATTCACAATTTCTAGTGTATTAAAGACACATTTTATCACAGTCAAGTTGCTGATCCCAGTAATTCCATGCAAGTCATTTTAAGGCATCTCTCCTCTATTTTAAGGCCATCTATCTAGATGGGTTTGGCCAATGAAGAAGCCTTTGATCACTCTTTAGTAAAACATCATTCTTAAAAGATGTCCAGTTTTCTGACACGGGGGTGGGGGAATCAGTGTAAGAGCACGACAGCCTGCTGCCACATAACCATCAGCACTTCTTATCATTAATTATGCTCCTTATTCCTTCTACAGACATAAGCAAGAGACTGGCACGGAGGTATTACAGCAGCATACTCTATTATGTTGCTGTTTACATAGGAAAAACTCCGGGTAACAAACATAGTAGGAGCCAAGCTCAATTCTCAGAAGCAGCAGCTCGCTCCTGTAGAGCTGCGGGAGTTTTCTCACCAAGGCAAACAGGTTACGCTCACGTTCATTTCCCCCACATACAGGTGAGAAAGAGATGCTCCTTGCCATCACGGCCTCGGCTGTGGACCCAGACAGCCAGGGAAATCAGCAGCCAAGAAAGAAAAACCAAGCACGATGCTCGCTGTCAGGAGATGGACATCTCTGTGCAAAGGAAGGTACGTGGCCACTCAAATGTGGGGGCAGCGAGAGCCCACGCTCACTTCCATCTCATCCGAAATCCAGCTACGAGTAACAGAAAGCTATGCTGTTGCAGTAACCGGAAAAAAAGCAGCTAAAATGATGGCCATGCTACAGGCTTCCACAAGCTCTCCCTCTCTTGACCTGTCTGGGTGAAGAGGTAGGACCTGGCACCTACAGACCTGTCCTAAAATGAACCCCCTGCAACAGGACCAACTGCAGGAAATTGGGCTAACGGAAGGACTACTCCAAAATGCCTTTTCTTGAGCCAAAAGACCCCAAACAGGTACTCTAGCCTATCACTACACCCAAAGCATAAAGTGTCTTTTTTTTTTTTTTTTTTTTTTTTTTTTTTTTTTTTTTTTTTTTTTTTTTTTTTTTACAGGCTCCAAAGATGTAGCAGAATCCAGAGAAAATTCAAACCAACAGGGGCAGCAACTCTGTCGGCAACAAACTTCCATCTCACAAGTATACTGAAAGTGACAAATTTTCCTTCAGAAGTTTGTAATTCTCCCATCGCGTCAAGAAGCAGAATTAAAGCAGTACCTCTACAACCTGCTGAAATACTTGCTTCCCTAGGTGTAATTCTTCAAGCCTGTGGTTATTAATTGGAACCTACCCATGAACGAGGCTAGGCTATAGTGAGGAGACAGTCAATATCTAATATGCATGTTCAAAAAAGCTCACTTCCTCCTCAGGTTAAATACAAGTTTATGAGTACTTCTCTTACCACATAATAACACTGAGATCAGAATACATAAGACTGTAAAGGAATTTTGGCGGTGCCCAAGAACAGTCTCAACAAAACCAATGAGAATATATATTACAAAATTATTTCCACACCTTCTAGCTCATAGGTTTAAGAGGCTAATTTTCATTGTTTATGGTAATTACATTTCGTATTTCACTGAACTTTGACATAGAAAATGTATTATTGGATTTTGCTTGCATCTTCTAGTCAATTTGTGTAATCTTGCAAATTCTGCATTACAAGTAGATAGAATACAATGGACGGTACATTCCTAAGTTACAAGTTTTTCCTTAAGAGAAGAGAATTATTATTGATTCTGCAATAACTAAACCTTTGATCAAATTTGGTGAAACCAATGTTACTTAATAAAACAGAAACAAACACAACTCCTCTGTATTTGAAGAAAACAGTAGTTTACAAAAAGGCAACAACACCATCCAAAAACAAGAGGTCATTTTTTTCTCCATTACCCCCATCTCATGTCTTCCAAGTACATAACACCTCAGCACCTTCTTAATGCATTGTGTCCAAAAGAATCCTTTTTACCACTTCTCTGGTTCTCCTTCAAGATAAAAGATCTGAAGCACAATATCTGTCAGATAAAAATATTTTTTTAAAATATATACCTCAAAATTCAAACACTAGACTAGCCTTTTTCATACTTCTCAGATCTAATTTACCTTCCCAAGTAATGATCCTATCAAATACATAGAATCATTTATGTTGGAAAAGACCTTTAATATCATAAAGTCCAAGTGCAAGCCTAACACCACCAAGTCCACCACTAAATTACATCCCAAAGCACCACACCTACGCGTCTTTTAAATACCTCCAGGGATGGTGGCTCAACTACGTGCCTGGGCAGCCTGTTCCAATGCTCGACAACCCTTTCAGTGAAGAGATTTTTCCTAATATCCAATCTAAACCTCCCCTGGTGTAACTTGAGGCTGTTTCCTCTCATCACCTGTTACCTGAGAAAGGAGACCAACCCCCACCTTGCCACCATAAGGTCCCCCCTCATCCTTTTCTCCAGGCTTAACAGGAGTTCCCTCAGCCATTCCTCCTAAGACTTGTGCTTGAGACCCTTTCACCAGCTTCATCGCCCTTCTTTGGTGCAGAAAATCAAACCTGTTGACACAACAATTACCAAAACTCCTCCAGAGAAACAGCCAGACAATCATTCCTCTTCCATCCCTACTCACAAAACCCTCTACAAAAATAATGGGTTTTCCAAAACACTATAAGACTTAATTTTGTGAGGAAATCTAACTGAAGAATCAAGTACCATCCCATGAATAACTTCCCACTCCTAAAGAGAGAAAAGCTATTACAAAGCTGAAGTGCCCGGCTGCCTTCAGCAGCA